TCCAAGTAACATTGGACCCTGACCGGAACCATCCGTAGGTGAGCTGCCAGGACCGCTAGGATCTTGGTAAACACCCTGGGAGCCGATGAAAGGCCAAAAGGAAGGGCCCTGTATTGGTAATGTTGACCTTTGTAAGCAAACCTTAGAAACCGGCGGTGGGCGAGAGAGATGGGGATGTGAAGATACGCTTCCGTGAGATTGATGGACGTCAGGAAGTCTCCTTTTCTTACGCTTCCCAAGATGGATCGGAGTGTCTGCATCTTGAACTTGCGGTAAACAAGATGGTAATTTAAACCCTTGAGATCCAAGATGGCCCTCCATCCCCCCGACGACTTGGGAACGACAAAGAGGATGGAGTAAAATCCCCGACCTCTCTGGTCCACCGGAACCGGTTCTATGGCCTGTATGTCCAGAAGGTGTTGGACGGCGTCGCCCATCAGCTTCCTCTTTATTCGATTTCGAGGGTAAGGGCAAGAGACAAAGTGAGTCAGGGGATCGGAGATGAACTCCAAATAGAGGCCGTTGCGTATGGTGTTGAGCACCCATGAGTCCGTGCTGGTAGCTTCCCATTGGTGGGCAAAGAGAGATAGTCTGCCCCCTATGGGAATGACCGTCAGGGAGTCACTTGGAGCGCCGGAATGGACGGCCGCTCCCCCGAAAGGGCCGCTTACCCTGAAATTGTTGCCTGGGTTTAGCCGTTTGTGCATCGTATTGTCTGTCCTGCCTGTCCTGCCTGGCCGGAAAGGGACGAAAAGGTTGAAAGGACTGGTTGTAAGTGTACCTGTTGTTAGACCGAAAGGACTGTTTGCGGGGATAAAAGGTCTTACGTTTCTCCGACTTGTTCAGAATGTGGTTGAGGACCTTGCGCTTGTCCTTATTTTCAGTAAGGTACGGTTCCAATGCCCCACCAAACAGTTTGCCTCCTTGGTATGGGGCCGATGACAGGCGCCACTTTGATTTGACGTCAGCACGCCAATGCTTCAGCCAAAGCATACGCCGTCCCGTGACGCTGGATGCCATAGCCTTGGAGGCAAACCTGGTGGCTTGGAGAGATGCATCTGATGCATATTCAATGGCCGCTATCATTTTACTAAGGTCTTGGTGAGAGCGGACATCCTCAGCTGGGGTCCGGGCCTGAAGCTGTTTGAGCCAGCGATGGGCGGATTAAAGAATGAAGCGGAGGAAGCCGCTCTAATCGCCCAAGCCGCCGCCTGATGGGTCTTACGATAAGCGAGTTCAGACTTACGGTCCTCCGCTTTGAGGGCTTCAGAGACGTCTCCGGGTATGGCGGTGGAAGAGACCAGTGGACCGAAAGGTTCATCCACTGCCGGTACCTCCAATGCCTCTTCCAGCTCCTTAGCTACATTATAAAGTCTCTTGTCAGTAGCGCTAGGCAGAGGGAGGGAAGCTGGAGAAGCCCATTGCTTCTGTATAGCTGTCATGAACATGGGAGGGCATGGGATGCGATGTTGAGCCGCCACTGGTTCAGTAAAATTGGGATCTAACTCTGGATCCGGGGAAACAGTGGCCGCCATTGAAGGAGGCTCAGAACCCCGGTGGGCTGTGGATGCGACCTTTCAGAGCAGAGTGACGAAAGCAGAAGGATTAAACATGCCACTGAATGCTGGAGCATCAGGGGAAGTCTCCTCCTCCTCAGACATTGGAAACCCTTGGTCAGTGCCCTGGTCGTGGAGGGATAGGCCCTCTGAGTACGAGGAACCTGATGGTGAGGAAGGTGCTTCATAAGTCTCCTCATCCTGACCTTGTACAGGTATGGGATTCACAATCGGAGGTCTAGGCGGAATAGCCCTGGCGTTCAAGGCGCTGTCAACTGCATGCGCAATCAAGAAGGCCAGGCGCTCCTCCGAAGGCATGGGGACAGACTCCATAGGACGGAGGCCTGCAGCTGTAGGAGTGAAAGTCGCCTCTGGAAGGCAGAAATGTGACCGCGGAGCAGGAGGTACGGGGGAATGAGAGAGTTCTCCCGTAGTCCATCCCCTCGGGGAAAAAGCGGGAGGTCCCAAGGGTAGAGTGTATGTTAATCCCGCAGTTTGGGGGGGATCTAGTCTAGCTGCCTTTTGTGCTCTAGAAAACTCCTTTTCTAGAGCCTGATGTCTCCGGTTTGCTTGTTTGTCTGCCCTCTTGGAGGTCTTGTTCGAAGACCTGCCCTTGGTTTTAGATACAGGCATGTCAGGACCCTCCAGACTGGGTGGAGCGACAGACATTAAAGTGGATGGAGGAGGCGCAGCGCCTTCTGAAGAAGAATTGGTAGCCTCCATTCTCAGATAG